GAATATTTTCCACACATCGGAGACATTCAAGTAAATATCCCAAGAACGTTTAATTGCATGGAAAACGGGTGTCTCAAGGACGTCCATCGTCCTTAAACGGACGTCCATTGTATATAATAATATCTATTAACGGACGTGTTAAAAAAGTCCTTAGGATGTCTCCAGGGACGGTAAAAAAGTTTAATTTAATATTTAGTTTACAATGTGAATCGTTAAATTTGTAACGTGCAGTCAATTTGACTCGACTTGCAAAATTCATTAGAAAAACATTAAATACGTGGGTTTCACGTAGCTCGCCCCAAAATCTGTAAAGTGTTTACAGCGGTGGTCATCGCGCAGCAGTGAAAGACGGAGTGGGAGTAGCGCATAATAGTACTTGAAATAAAACTACCAGATTATATTAGATTTTTTCGATATTTTGTACCTAAAATTGTTCACACTTATTTTTAAGTATTCTATACATGAACATTACATTATTTCATTTCCATATTTACCTAAAACAGTGCATTACTTTATGCATTACTGAGAATACCAATTTCATGTCCGTTTTATGTAGGAGTTTTACAGTTTACATCAAATTAATCAATATACATATTAACAGATGTTTGCTACAACTTTACGACTTTCCAAAGTAAGAATTTCCTTTATGTCATATATAAATAATACTATACTAATTACAGGACTGGGAATAATAATAGTGATTCTTCAGTCTACTCATAATCCGAAAAAAAACCACGTTTATTAATTTATGTGATCCTTATAATACCTTAGTAAAACAGTATTTAATTTATTTTTATTTATCATAATCATTGATTTCTTCAAGATATTGTCTGAGGTTATTTATTTATGGCATAGTTTTGGTTTATCGTTTCTTTATTTTTTGAGTATTTTGCCACCTGCGTAAAAATTTTAAAATTAGCGAGAGAAACCGTTGTAGCAAAAGGATCTGTCATAAAAAATTTCGCACCGCAAAAAAGCAGATAGATACAAAATACAAAAACACCGCTTAATATCGTCTTTTTTTTGACATTTCGTTTTAGTTGCTTTGACAGTTTAAACTTGTTTAAAATTTAAAGGAAAATTGAACCGTCAAAGCAATTAAAACCAGAAAAAAACAAATTTAAACTGTTAAAGCAACTAAAAAAAAAGTAAAAAAGTTCAAAAGAAGGAAACAAATAGATTTTCTANCCACACATCGGAGACATTCAAGTAAATATCCCAAGAACGTTTAATTGCATGGAATACGGGTGTCCCAAGGACGTCCATCGTCCTTAACGGACGTCCATTGTATATAATAATAACTATTAACGGACGTGTTAAAGAAGTCCTTAGGATGTCTCCAGGGGCGGTAAAAAAATGAATTAATTTAATATATAGTTTACAATGTGAATTGTTAAATTTGTAACGTGCAGTCAATTTGACTCGACTTGGAAAATTCATTGGTGCTCATGGTTACCATCGCGCAGCAGTGAAAGACGGAGTGGGAGTAGCGCATATTTACTGTGCAGTTTGGTCTCTGTAGTCCCTCAGTAACCAAATGATAGCTATTCACTGCTGTTTTTTCTTATTAAACGTAATTTGTTTACGTGTGGTGTAAAATTTTGTTACCTACGTATTGTTTCTTGTGTTTTTTAAAAAATTGTAAAAGTTTGAATTAAATTGTAAAGGCAGACCAACAGTACTTGCAATGCTATCTATTGAAAAATCATTGGGCGAGGAATATCAAACTTGAATAAAGAAGTCATTGAAAAGTGTATTTCCGACAAAACAAGAAGAATGGACTTTCACTATAAAAAAATAATGAGCACATTTTCCCTATATTTTAATAATACTTAAAATAAAACTACCGGATTATATTTGATTTTTTCGATACTTTATATCTAAATTTGTCCGCTCTCCCTGGTATGTAAGTCAAGAGCCGCCACTGGATCTCTTTCTGCTATATGAACAGTGTCTGTTAAAGAATGGGCCAGTTTTGACCACCAGATTTTACGATTTTGCTTGTTAAAATGCAGGTTTATTCAGTGGAATGTTATAAAAGTTTCGAACAAATGCTCCTTGAAATTGAATATATTAATTAATACTGTACAGGGTGATTCACTATATTTTGATCTCCTCCTTTAACTTTTTTTGTTTTTAGAGTTATAAAAAAATGTGGAATACAAAAGTTGCACGATTTTTTATGAAATGACAGTAGAAAAACAAATGAAGTCCAAACAAAATGGTCGCGGATGTTAACTTTGTTAATTTAAATGGATCGCCCTGTATATTTTTGTATATTTGGAACTTTCCCTGTCGAGCATAGCCATATAGAATTTGTTGGGTCCATCTCTTACAATAAGCGAGATACTATTGAAAAACGAAGGGTTAAAATGTGTTACACAGAAGTAGAAAATTGAAATATTATTAGGAATTAAAATAGAGTATCAAGAAGAAAGAACCTTATTCTATTTTAATTCCTATAATTCAATTTTCTTCTTCTGTTTAACTCACTTTAATTAATTTAATTAAGTAATAATGCAAACTCACTAATTAATAATTGAGATTTAGTTATAATGCATTTTGGACCATATCAATGTCCGATATGTCAAAATATATTACAACTGAATCTGTAAATCCTTACGTAATTAGAAAAAAAGCAGAAAATTACAAGATATCTTATTTTCTTAATAAAAAACCTTTTTTTTCTTTTCTAATAGTATCTCGCTTATTGTTAGAGATGGATACAACAAACACTATATGACTATGCGCGACAGGGAACGTGCTATCCATTCTATCTAAATATGTACAAATATACAGGGTGTTCCATTCAAATTAACAAAGTAAACATCCGCGGCTATTTTGTTTGGACTTAATTTATTTTTCTACTACAATTTTCGAAAACTTCATAAAAAATCGTGCATCTCTTGTATTTCACAATCTTTTATAACTCTAAAAGCAAAAAAGTTAATGGGGAGTCAAAATATAGTGAAACACTCTGACACGGGATATAATACTAGGTGTTTAGAAAGTTTTAACTATATAATAGCATTTTGCAATTTATATGCACTTAAATAATATGTACCGCGTTTTATTACCAGAAGTAATAGGTAGGCGAATACCAAAGTTTCATTTATAAATAATATTTTACTCAGAAGATTATTTGTACTTGTTACAAATGATTAATGGTTGCTATATTGTCCACCTAATTACTTTTCAATATTTTTCAAATCTACTTATAACAAAAAAAAAACATTAATAATTAATTTAAAGATAAAATAGTGAACTTTAATTTGAACATAAGTGAATATTTAAAAATAAGTACTCGGAAAAAAATAGTTTTCCGTTGAAAATATTCTAAATTTTTCTAATGAAATCTTCGCCTAAAATTGTTCACACTTATTTTTAAGTATTCTATACATGAACATTACATTATTTCATTTCCATATTTACCTAAAACAGTGCATTACTTTATGCATTACTGAGAATACCAATTTCATGTCCGTTTTATGTAGAAGTTTTACAGTTTACATCAAATTAATCAATATACATATTAACAGATGTTTGCTACAACTTTACGACTTTCCAAAGTAAGAATTTCCTTTATGTCATATATAAATAATACTGTACCAATTACAGGACTGGGAATAATAATAGTGATTCTTCAGTCTGTCACTATTCATAATCACAAAAAAAATCACGTTTATTAATTTATGTGATCCTTATAATACCTTAGTCAAACAGTATTTAATTTATTTGTATTTATCATAATCATTGATTTCCGATAAAATGTGACAGCATCATATTTCCATTGCATTGCATTTCCAAGCAATTAAAACCAGAAAAAAACAAATTTAAACTGTTAAAGCAATTAAAAAAAAGTAAAAAAGTTCAAAAGAAGGAAACAAATAGATTTTCTATTTTGTATTTGTCTGCTTTTTTTGTGTGAGATTTTTTGGTTAGGTAAAACTATTTTCATTAAAATAACCCCTTGACTGAGCCTTTTGGCGAAAGGGATTTTATTAATTTTAACTTTTTCGCAGGTGGCAAGATAACAAAAGATTAAAACATCTGCCAAAGTCAAGAACATATCCTTAAAAGTAGGTGTTACTTTGTATTAATTGCGCCTATATGTCCTCAAGTAATAGACTGAAAGTAGAATTTTTTAGGTGACAATATTTTAGGCCCTTATTTTCATAAGTATACTTTTTAATTCTACACTAAATATGTCTTTGTTTTAAATGGCTCAGCCGCCTTGTTTTCGAAAAAAAAAAATGCAAATTTGGTACCGACTAGACTAGATATTATTGCTCTAAGTTTTATTTTTGTTGAAGTAGATGTGTATTTCGTTTTCTAGTTCTTGCAATTATTTTATTAGGTTTTATTGTTCTTCAATCTATAAGGGTAAAATCTATCGAAACAAAAATTAGGAGAATATTACTTAGCGGACATATTTTTATGCTTTTTTTTAAATGCTTTATTAAATTTTGACAATGCTACATTTTTTCTATGAAATTAAGGAGTATCTACTAAATAAATCATATATGAGGATTACAATATCAGAAATTTGCATATAACATACTTAAGAACTTATTAAACCAAACCAAATCGATACGTCGATTATTTTCGGAGAAATAGACAAAAAGTTTTAAAAAAATGTGCTTTTGCGCCGTTTATCTTAAATACTAAAGACGATAAATTATAATTCATGGAAAAACTTATTTATCTCTTATTTTTTGGGTTTTCTGTTTCCTCTAGGATATTTTTAACCAAGATCGTGTAGAAAAATTTTGGTTTAATTAAAATTTTAAACTGTATTGGATACTTCTACATATATCTGATCAAACATACTGCAACGCACAACGACAATTTCTATAAGGAAATATTTTAAACTAAAAACTTCATTTAGACATATTTCCTTTCCATAGTTTTGTATTGTATTGTATTGATTTAAATAATTAAATATAAAAAGGCAAAACAATTATTATAATTAACGTAAAGCCAGTTTAAAAGAAACTTACTTGAAAATATCTACGGAAACTATACCAACTAGTTCATTATAGTCACGCAAGAACTGATATCACTATATCACCACTAAGTTTGTCACTGGCGATCTCTATTTGATAACTTCCATTTACAGACCGCGAGCTTCGAGCTTCCTCAGCTTAGTTCTATCTCACCTGCCCGCCGTTTGATTATATGTGTGTTTACCTGATCGCGACATACTCCCGATTGTCGGTTGTTTGCGTCATCGATTGTCATGGACTGCGGATTGTTGTGCATGCTTTAGTTTGAAGAAATGCCTCCGGCACACTCTGATTTCATGAGGATAACCAGCATTTTTGTACTTAATTAAAATACCTTCATGTCCATGTCCATATTATATAAAAATATGTATTCTTTCAAGACATTTAGTAATTTAGAGGCAACATTTGAATTAATTCGATGATTTATTTTTGAAGCAATTCATTCTAGAGGAAACAGAATAGTAGCTAATAGATAATATTTGGAAAACACGTTTACAATAAAAAAAAATAATAAAATGTGGAATCCTTAATGAATTTCTAGGAGAAAGTTATAAGTGCTCAAATACCTCTAGTGTCAACAACAATTTAAAGTTTTTCTTTTCGTTATCTGCATTGTACATTTAAAATAAGCAATAGCTTCTGGACATTTTTGTTAAACCGATTAGAGAAGTATATCTTCCCAAGAAAATGAAATGAGGTAACATAAAGTTAAATTTATATCTTTATAACAGCAAAGGACTCTGTAAAAGTGTTAAGTATATTAAATTTTTTCAGCTACTAATAGAGAAATTATAAGAAAAAATCATCTTCTGGAAAACAAGTTTTTTATAAAAACTTTTATATGAAATTGAGTCAGGATCACAGTCTTTAATTAACTACTCAAATCGCCTTCTACTTAAAAAATTTATGCTACTAAAATGTTTCAATATGTAGGATGTATTTAATTGGAAGAGAACAAACTACCACAAAGCCTTGAGGCTAAAATATGATAATTAGGCTAAATATGCTTTAATCTAAAGTTGCTTCATTTACAAGTTTTAGGGTATTTAAAATGAAATAAAAGAAAAATATTTCAAATTATACGTAATTTTCTTACAACAGAAAAAGTTCTACTGAATTTGAATTGCTTAGACAAAGTTTTTAGGAAGTTTTTATTTTGTGTAATCATTTATTTGTGACATTTTCAATTATTTTTTTTATTTAATTGGATATTTTATTTAATTGGATATTAATAATGGTTCCACCACGTAACCTGTCAATTTAACAGAAGAACAATCTAGCAGCACTTTACAGTAGCACAAACACTATGGCACTTGGTTCTGTACCTTTATACATGTAAAAATGTATGTAAAATTCGCATAGATATTGATTGATAACATTTGCTGCACAAATTTTTTGCAAACAACGCACCGTTTACGTTTCTCTAAACACACATGAGCGAATTAGATAGTCACTAGTTGGATACTGTTGTACATTCAACTACATAAAATATGTTTAAGTATTTACACAGTGATTTGAAGTGGATACTTGTTTTATTGCGTTATTTTTTTAAATGTATTCTTAACATTTCAAATTATCTGCATTTGCAGCGATAAGGCTAATAGTCCAGGCGGTATCTGTTTTGGGTTGGGTAAAACGCATATGATCGGAGATTTTTGCTTTAACGGCTTCAAAACAACATCAGAAATCATAATATTTCTATGCAAATAAAAAAAACGCGGGCTTAATTGTTATTGCAAAAAAGTATAAAAAAATAGCAAAAAAATTCATATTTTTCTTGGATTTCTCGTCGACAACTTAGCAACTATTCATTTTAGACAAAAATGGAAGAGGAAAAAAAGTTTTGTAATTAAATTTTGATCAAGATAGAGTTAGTTGCAATTCGAAAAAATAATTATTGTTATTGCAAAAATCGGAAAAATCATTTAAAAAATTGCAAAAAATGCTAGTTTATTTGTCAATTTTTTTCAGACACTTGAATAATACCTAGGATCTTCATACTTTTCCCAATTAAACTTCTTAGTGCATAGAATCATCACACCAAATTTCATCCAATTCGGTTCGATAGTTTTTACATAATAATTGTTTAAATTTTTTATTTTTTTTTAATTAAAAAATTTTCAAAATCAAATTTCTAAAAATCTAAAGCCTTTGAATACTTGAAAATTTCACCACAAAAAGAAGAGCTCTCAAGCTTTAAAATGGTTTTTGAAAAATTCAAATCGGACGCTTAGGTGAGCCGTGGTGATTGTTTAAACATTTTTGCAATTGCAAGTCCAATAATTAATAATAGAAGGTAGTTGAACATATGATAATTGAATTTTTTAAGTTGCGAGATAGCGATTTAAAAAAAGAATCATCGAAATTGGTCCATTAGAAGCTGAAATAATTGAAATTTTTCCGAACGTCGCAGTTTTGAACTCTAGAATTCAGATCGGAGTAGCTATGTGTTTGCTCCCCCAAACACTGATATCTCATGGATTTCACACCGTCTTGAATATCTTTGAGTGACATTTTAAATGGGACGCCCGTGATTGCAAATTTTGAAAATTTGTATCTGGAAAGTACTCGGAATGACAAACCTATTAATTCAAAAAACAGCCCTTATACCCTTATAGTTTTGCTGTAAATTAGGGTTAACTTTAATTCCGAAAATAATGGGCGGATCATAATTTTTTTTTAATACTCGTCTTTCCGAGTACTTTCAAACCATATTTTAAAATTAAAAAAATTGGAAAAAACATTAAATTATTGTAATTGTTTATAAGCGTTTTGTGAAAATGTTTAAACAATCACCACGGCTCACCTAATCGTCCGATTTGAATTTTTCAAAAAGCATTTTAAAGCTTGAGAGCTCTTCTTTTTGTGGTGAAATTTTCAAGTATTCAAAGGCTTTAGATTTTTAGAAATTTGATTTTGAAAATTTTTTAATTTAAAAAAAAATAAAAAAATTAAACAATTATTATGTAAAAACTATCGAACCGAATTGGATGAAATTTGGTGTGATGATTCTATGCACTAAGAAGTTTAATTGGGAAAAGTATGAAGATCCTAGGTATTATTCAAGTGTCTGAAAAAAATTGACAAATAAACTAGCATTTTTTGCAATTTTTTAAATGATTTTTCCGATTTTTGCAATAACAATAATTATTTTTTCGAATTGAAACTAACTCTATCTTGTTCAAAATTTAATTACAAAACTTTTTTTCCTCTTCCATTTTTGTCTAAAATGAATAGTTGCTAAGTTGTCGACGAGAAATCCAAGAAAAAAATGAATTTTTTTGCTATTTTTTAAACTTTTTTGCAATAACAATTAAGCCCACGTTTTTTTTATTTGCATAGAAAAATTATCATTTCTTATGTTGTTTAGAAGCCGTTAAAGCAAAAATCTCCGATCATATGCGTTTTACCCAGTTCTACCCTTTTTAAAACAGATACCGCCTGGACTATAAACAGTTTTTTATGTCGGATTTATCCCGAAAATTATTATCACCTCTCAAAATCGGAAAATAAAATATTTTGTTATCTGCTTGTGTAACTTTTCGTAAACGCAGACCTTTCAGTATCGGTGTAAGTGATTTCATAAAGTGGTCGTATCCTGTATTTACTAAAATGCTACGTAATGTATTGTATAGCAGGTTACCTATAAGATAAATTTTTATATACAGTTATGTGACAGACTCTAGGACTAACACAAGTGGCATTCGTACGAATTTCAACGTTGTACAAGCAAAGAAAAATGGAAATTCCTGAAAATAACTGCATGGAAACTGTAAGTAACAAGTATATATTATTTTTCCAAATATTCATTTCAGAATACTTCACTTTCGGAATTAAATTCTGTATTTAATATTAGTAATACTTAAGAGAATAACAATTTATATGAAAAATTAAAAAATACGACATAGTAAAAGAAAGAATTTTTAGTTGATTCCAAAATAACTAGAATAATTTGTATATTATCATCGGTGGAGTACGTTAATTTTCATCAGCTCAAATATTTGACATTCCATTGGACAATTTTAACATTACAATGCGGTAGAATAAAAGATATGGTCAGGAAACATCAAATTAAACTTGCTAGCTCTGACCAAAATTCTACAAGGCAATGCACTGTTATTATTTCGAAACATGTTTGTATGACACAAAAAGGGTAAAGAACTTTTACAATTTTTTTTTTAATATTACCAGTATTTACGCCACTATTTATTTATTTAATAATTAATTATATTCATATCATATTTGTAAAATCGGAAAAAAAGGGTTCAAATAGCCGATAATGGAAAAATATTAAAACCAGATATTAAAGAACCATTGGTATTCCACAGGGCAGCATTACCGGACCGGTTTTATTCATAATCTATTTGATTGATATAAGCAGTATGGTTTGAACAAATTTTTATATAGCATTGGTTTTTAAAATATGGTTTATTATTAAATGATTTAGAACACTACAAAGCAGTTAAAATACAATACTAAATACTGAATATAGTAACAAATAATGAATTTTTAGGTGTTTACATTAGTGAACATTTGTTTTGATCATCCCATATTTATAAAATTTATGTAAGAAGTTGAATAAAATATGTTACAGCTTTAGAGTTGTTAGTGAATATTTAAACGAAAGTTCATTGCGCATTATATTATATTTCTACAATTTTGAAGCAAGCATGAGATTTGAAATAATTTTCTAGGGGCTAGTAATATTCAAAAAATATTTATTTTACAAAAAAGAGTGCTGCAAATTATACATGAATTGAATTTTAATGATATCTGTAGAGATATGTTTTAACAAAAAAGAATTTTGACAATGTTTGCAGATTGTTTATGAATGTCTTTTATTTGTAGCAAAAAATTAAAATAAATTTAGGTTATTTGGTACAATGGGTCATGTATGTGAAGCCCATATAGTATATATAACTTATCCAGTACATCAATTGACAGTGACAGAAAAGAATCCACATTTATGTGTATTAAATTATTTAATAAATTGTCAGATTGTATTAAAAAGATAAAAATATAATTTTTTTTGTTTGACGTTATTTCATTTTCAGTATCTACTTTTTCTGAAATTTAATATTACTAACATTAACTTGATTTATTTATATTTAATTTAATTTATTAGTTATATTTGTAACCAGTTTTATATATATATATATATATAATAATTTATATTCTATAAAACTGTTGCAATGTTGCAAAAATCATTCGCGATGATGAATTGATGAAAGAAACCATAAAAGAAAATTCATAATTAATTAATTAATAATGTTAGGGGTGTTTAGTTTTATGGTGTCTGTACCAAACTTTGTTATTTGATGTAGAATACTCTGTAA